CATATATATATGTGTGTGTTTGTCATTTGTGCATATACTAGCAGTTTGCACACATTGGAATTCTTGTGCGGGCATCTCTCTTAGTCAGTATAGATGATAGTACAGTAATGATAGGAAAAACATAAGATCTAGGAAAACAGTATAAGAACAATTTAAAAAAAGGAAAATAACTATATTTAGACATAAGCACACTAAAAAAGAATAAAAAATTTAAAAGATGCATTTCAGCACAGTAGAGGATGTGGCACAATAGTACAATCAGTGTGTCAAATGTAGGACCTGTATGCAACTTAGCAGCACTTCACATTTCTTAGGGATGAATGAATAAATTATATTGCACCCAGTGGGACATGAGGCAGGACATTCAGTAACTCCTCCCTGCCATCAGTCTGACTGTGGCAGGGAAGAAGCTTTTCATAAATCGAGTCTTATGTGTGATGATACTGTCCGCTCTGCTGTGTCTCATGTTGTACGTGCAGTGTTTGAGTCTAAGCAAAGAGTGGGCTGGGTCTCCGCTGATCCCCTCTGCTCTTCTCTGGCAGCGCTGCACATACAGGGATTCCATGGATGGAAGTTTGGTCCCAACAATCCCCTCCGCAGTCTTAATGACTCTTTGCAGAGCCTTCCTCTCTGCCTGAGTGGTGTTCCTGTACCAGACGGTAATGTTCGTGGTGAGGATGTTCTCTGTTAGTCCTCTGTAGGCCTGGGTGAGAGGGCGGCTGCTCAGACCAGCTTTCCTGAGCCATCTAATGAAATAAAGCCTTCTTTGTGCTTTTTTCACTGTGGCTTCAGTGTTAAGAGCCCAGCTCAGGTCTGATGTAAACTGCAGTCCTAGAAATCTGTGGCTGTCCAGTCTCTCCACCTCGGTCCCTCTGATGAAAAGAGGCTGTAGAGGGGGAGGATTCTTCCTAAAGTCCAGGATAATTTCCTTGGTCTTGTCTGTGTTCAAGATGAGGTCGTTTTTCTCTCCATAGACAAGGATGTTGTTTACCAGGGACCTGTATCCTGACTCAACTCCTTCTTTGATGAGTGGTGTCGTCAGCATATTTGATGATGGGCGTGTTGTCCTGGGTGGATACACAGTCATATGTGTACAGTGTGAAGAGTTTGGGGCCGAGGCAGCAGCCTTGTGGGGATCCTGTGCTGACAGTGAGCTCAGAGGACACTCGTCCTCCCATCCTCACCACCTGTGGTCTTTCTGTCAGGAAATCCAAAATCCAGTTGCAGGTGTGAGTTGGGATACCAAGGTCTGCCAGCTTCCCAGTCAGTTTGCCCGGCCGAATGGTGTTAAATGCTGAACTGTAGTCTAGGAAAAGCATCCTGGCGTACGTCTTGTTGCTGTCCAGGTGCTGCAGGACGTGGTGGAGGGCTACCGCTACTGCGTCGTCCACTGAGCGGTTGGTGTGGTAGGCAAACTGGAGTGGATTGTTGTTTATTGTTTTATTTGGATCCCCATTAGCTTCCAAGGCAGTGGTTGCTAATCTTCCTGGGGTCCATAAAATCAAAAATCAAAATGCAAAAATGCAGTTAACAATACATATAATTAAAATGTACATATTCATTTCCATAGATTATAAAAGCTATAAGAGCATCATAACACCAGCCACCTAATACATCCAAATAAGCAAGTGCAGTCTGCAAAACACCTCATCCCTCAAAACAAATATAACAACATATGTAATACCTTCAATACAATAATTTCTGTCTTATAGCTTTCTTAAAAATGATTGGATTTTGAATTTCCCTAACACTAGTTGGGAGTAAATTCCACTCTGAAGCCCCTCTATACAGAATTGTTTTCCTCGTAAAGTTACTTCTAGGGCTTGGAACTATAACCATATTGTTGCTGACAGAGCCTGTTCCATGCTCATGACAATGTCCACTAAATAATAGTCTTTCTTTAAAATAATGTGTATTATTAATCATTACCTTATGCATAAACAGTAGAACACTGTATTTTGTTTTTGCTTCGATAGTTAGCCAAGACAACTTAAGATGCATCTCATGCACATTTGTGCGGAAAGAACAGTTCAAAACTACTCTGGCTGCCCTATTCTGCGCTATTTGAAGTTTTCTAGAGATTTCTGGGATGCACTGGACCAAACTACAGGACAGTACTGTAAATGAGTTAAAACATGACTTTGAACAACATTTTCCATGGCAGCAGTTGGACAATATGCAGAACATTTTCTTGACATTACAATTCCCCTGGCCATCATACCGACCATATGGTCAATTTGATCTGACCAGGACAATAAGCTGTCTAATTTGATACCCAGCAATTTGAATTTGTTGACCTGCTCTACCTTGGTACCCTCAATTTGCAGATTAAGTGAGGTCAAATTTTGCAACATGTATCTACTGCAAAATGTCATGCATTTAGTTTTGGAAATATTTAATACCAGTTTGTTCTTTTTCACCCAGTCCACCACTGTGTTAGATCTACAGTATCCGGCACTGTGTTGTTGATGTGTTTCTCTAGACACTTCATGGCGACCGGTGTGAGTGCCACTGGCCTGAAAAGTCATTTAGGGTGTGTGTGTGTGTGTGTGTCTGTTTTTTTCGGGACTGGTATGATAACGGAGGATTTGAAAATTTGAGGGACCACAGCCTGGGATAGTGCCAGGTTGAAAATGTCCGTGTACACACACCAGCCACTTGTTCCCCACATGCCTCTGTCGCCCCTCCTTCTCTTGTATTTTTCGCGCCACCACAGCTCGTACGCTCCACCTTCACGGTGACGACACGCTTCGCCGACCAATAGAAAGAAGCRTGGTTCGTTTGAGCCAATCAGAAGACAGCCGGGGAACAGCGGCTCGCGGGAAGCAGACAGGAAGCTGCTTAGTTTTTGCCGCGAAACACACGGTCTGTGCAAGCCTTTTGTCTCGGGAGCTTTAGGTCCAGTTTGGATTTTTCTTTTTGTCAGAAGACAAGCTAGGGTGTTTGATTTTAACACTKTGCTGCAGCATGTCTGGCTTCGACGACCCGGGAGTGTATTACAGCGACAGCTTCGGAGCTGGAGAGGGGCCCGGCGGGGATGAAGGCGGACACAAACGGGTCCAAATCCAGAAGCGGTTCCGTGAGTTCCTCCGGCAGTTCAGGGTGGGAACAGACCGGACCGGCTTCACTTATAAATACAGGTGGGTAACGCATAACTACAGAGAGGGAACTACATGTGGGAAGGAATTGATTGAAAAATAGTCCCTTTTGGCTTTGTTTGAAAAAAAAAAAAAAAACGCTGTAAATGACAGGCCTCTGAGCCTGAAAGTTACCATGTTGTTTTCTTCAATCACTTCTCTTAATATAAAAAAAACTTCTGCCAACAATAGGACGTTTCTCATGAACTCTTCCAACTAGTGAAATTGCATTTCTGTGAAAATGCAAAGTATATAATGAATAATAAATCAAATATGCTGAAGATTGAATAAGTTGTTAGTATTAAAATATTAAAGCAGTATCCAAAAGTTAAAATAAGCTAAACGTCCGTCAGAATGAGCAAAAAGCCAAAATCTAAAAGGAATAGCAAATTGCTAGCTAAAAGCTAAATACAGCAACTCAAAAGTAGAAAATGGCAGCTTGAAATAGCAACAAAGGCTAGCAAGAAGTTCAACTTTGATAAAGCTATCTAAAATTCACAGCTAAAAGTAGCATAAGACAAATAGAGCAGGTATGCTGAAACAAGTATGTTAAAGGAATTATAGACATTATAACTGTATATATGTGGAAAATAATTGTATTTAAAGCTGAATATTTTGCAAAGTATGAAAGAGACAAATGCCAAAAGTCAGAGCACCCACCTCCCAAATGAGCTGAATGTTTATATGAATGAAGCTTAAAACATGCAGGAAAGTTTGCATTTTCCTTTTGTTGTTGTTTTTTTTTTCACACTTCATCACATATTTCTCTTTGTTCTTCAGAGATGAGCTGAAGCGACACTACACCTTGGGGGAGTACTGGGTGGAGGTGGAGATGGAGGACCTCGCCAGCTTCGATGAAGATCTGTCCGACTGTCTTTACAAGCTGCCTTCTGAGAACCTGCCACTGGTGAGTYGGCCGTCGGGTCKTTTTCCACRCGGCCTCRTGCTTTCTTTCTTTTCAATCGCTCTTTTCCTGAAACTACAGCTGGAAGAAGCTGCCAAAGAGGTGGCCGACGAGGTGACTCGTCCTCGGCCTGTCGGGGAGGAGACGGTGCAGGACGTCCAGGTCATGCTCAAGAGCGACGCTCACCATGCCTCCATTCGCAGCCTGAAGGTACCTGCAGATCTCGTTTGTTTTGTCGCCCACTGCTGAAGCCAGAAGGAAAATAATCTTGTTTGTGAATTTCCACTTCCCGCCTCGTGCAGTCGGAGCAGGTGTCTCGTCTGGTGAAGGTGCACGGCATCATCATCTCGGCCACRGCGGTCAAGGCCAAGGCCACCAAGGTGTGCCTGCAGTGCCGCGGCTGCCGCGCCGTTCTCCCCAACATCCCKCTGCCTCCGGGCCTGCAGGGCTACGCTCTGCCGCGCAAATGCAACAGGTGACCGYGASACTCGCCGGTTTCAGCTGAARCTTTTAACGAGTGGCGTGGATTCTAACGAGCCCTTCTGTCTCCTCTCAGCGAGAACGTYGGGAGGGTGAAGTGTCCCGTGGACCCGTACTTCATCGTCCCGGACCGCTGCGTTTGCGTGGACTTCCAGACGCTTCGCCTGCAGGAGTCTCCGGACGCTGTGCCTCACGGAGAGATGCCCCGTCACCTCCAGCTGTACTGTGACCGGTAGGAGGAGCACCGTCTGATGGAGGCGTCCAGTCCTGAGTGGTTTGTTCGGCTGACTCTTGACTTCTTGTCCTCAGGTATTTGTGTGACCGTGTGGTGCCTGGGAACAGGGTGACCATCATGGGTATCTACTCCATCAAAAAGGTGGCTGCAGCCAAGGCTAAAGGCAAAGAGAAAGGTGTCGGCGTGGGGATCCGTGCGTCTTACCTCCGAGTGGTCGGGATCCAGGTGGACACAGAAGGAGCGGGTGGGTTTCTGCTTTAGTTCGACGCTCCTTTTTTTATTGTTATTAAAGGGGACCTACTATGCAAAATTCACTTTTTAAATTTTTTTTACTCAACTTTGGGTATGTACTTCTTAAAAAACAGTCCTAGGACCAAAAAAAATACACCCAGGGGCATATTTACTGTAAGTAAATATATTTTTAATGTATATTAACGACAAGTTTTATACTTCAGTCATTTTGTGATGTCACAAGGCGTACGACAACCCACCGGAACCTGCGTTCAGCCCCTTACCTAGGCTCCTCCTCCTCAGTATAAAAAGCTGTCACGGTTGTTGTTGTGTAATGTGCAGCTCATTTCATAACAAGCCTCCGATAGGGCAATGGATAGAGTGTTGGACCAGAGAGTGGGAGACCAGGGTTTGAGACCAGCATGGACACAATTTAATTATTTATTTTCATTCGTTATGAGCACGCTTTCTCATGTACCTCTATTGTTTAGCTTATTAAAGCCTATTTGTTCGAGTTTCTGAGGTATTTTGACCGCTGCTGCTCCCTGCTCTGGTAACAGCATGCAGAGTGAGCGCAGAGCAGAGGAGGGGGAGAAAAAAAGAAAGAAGCTGGGATCACGACTCTGCCTCTGGGTCTCATATGGTTGTACAACGGCGCTTCTGCCATTATTAGCCATGCTAACGTAAACACTGGTTTTGGAGGGCGGAGTTAATGTCAACAGATTTTTGGAGGGCGTTACCAACAGAGCTCATTAACATAAACAGCTCTTCTGAACGGAAGTCAGAGCAGGCAGAACTAGAAAATGGGAAATTTTATTATCTGAGAATTATTTTGTGCATTAAATTGAATGAACATGGTCTGGATAGCCCACAGACATACCATGAAAATTTCTAGGACCCATAGTTGGTCTTTAAATTTGTCGTCAGCTTTTAGATGATGGGTTATATTTTTGCTCTTTTATTTTGCGTCTCCTGCAGGTCGCGGTGCCACCGGGTCAGTGTCTCCACAGGAGGAGGAGGAGCTGAGAGCTCTTGCTGCTTCTCCTAACGTCTACGACTCTCTGGCCCGCTCCGTAGCTCCGTCCATTTACGGCAGCGACGATCTGAAGAAGGCCATCACCTGTTTGCTGTTTGGAGGCTCGAGGAAGAGGTGAAACTGCCTTAAAAAATTGTTAATAGTGTTAAACGGGTTCTAAAATTGCTCCAGTCTAACCTCGAGTTCATAAAACAGACTCCACCATGTCAGGATTGATTAAACAAAACCACAACAGAAATAATCTAATCTGTGTGAAAACTAAGTCTAAATGTAATTCTAGATATTGTTGAAGGTACGATTTTTTTTTTCTTTGTTTGTTTTGTTTTTTTGTCCAGGCTGCCTGACGGTCTCACTCGAAGGGGCGACATCAACCTGCTGATGCTCGGAGACCCTGGAACAGCCAAGTCTCAGCTGCTCAAGTTCGTGGAGCGATGCTCGCCAATCGGGGTGAATAATCCTAATCCTGAGCCGATCATAGATCYTCTGCGCTGCGATGCTGAGCCGTGTCTCTGTGCCCCTCAGGTTTATACTTCAGGTAAAGGCAGCAGTGCAGCTGGACTCACGGCCTCCGTGCTGAGGGACCCCACCACTCGTGGATTCATCATGGAGGGCGGAGCCATGGTGCTGGCCGACGGTGGAGTCGTGTGCATCGATGAGTTCGACAAGGTAACACTCAAATCCCGAGTGCAGCCGCTTGCAGTGCCCCGCCCCACCCCGCACCAACAAAAAGTGTGGCTCAGAGAGAATTAAAACCTCTGGTTTGACCTGCTCATCCACAAACACGTCAGCCTGCACGGCCAAACAATCTGTCAAAAGTCACAGTGAAAAAGACGAGACCATAAATTTGCTGAATATTCTCAGGAACAGACGAGCCCACGTATCTTAAACATTTATGAAAAGGACGAGTCACATACGTTGCTGATGAGACCCCAAATATGTCACAGCCCGAGTGTCTGGGATGACTCCGGACACAGAAGTTTCAGTATTCAAACACCTTTTATTATTAACAAAGACCAGTCTGAACAAAGAGAGCTGGGAGCTCAGGCCAAAACAAACAAAAGAGAGAGAGAGCAGCCCCAAACCGGCCCATGGTTCACAATCTGATTCAGGATCATCCCCCTCTGCCCACGCCCCGTGGTCCAGGTTCTGACCCTGCTACCAAATAGTGTGAAAACGACTAATGCACACAACATGACAAAACGGGTTTCTGTAAAAGAGCGAGGCTGGAGAGCCGGACCCACAATGCTGACGTGTCTCCTCTGKCCTCCCTCGCTCGCTGAGCAGACCTGTGCAGCCAGTCTGCTGTAAAGACTGCACACAAGTCATTCTCACTGACAGGAGGGCTTGTCACATCCACATACTGCTATATTTTGGTTTTATGCTGCTTTTAGCTTTTTGCTAACTTTTTTCTACTCATAGCTTTTAGCTACCACTGTTGTTCAAGTTCTATCTGGGCTTTTGTTACCGTTAGAGTTTTTAACTAGCCTTTTGCTGCTTTTAAATTTTAGCCAACCTTTGACTACTTTTAGATTTTTAATTAGCCTTTTGCGCCTTTTTTTTGTAGCATTTAGCTACTTTTATATTTTAACAAGCCCTCAGCAACTCTAGTCCCTAACTAACCTTTTAGCGCTTTTAGCTTTTTGCTGCTTTCATGTTTTAGCCAACCCTTKGCTACTTTAGCTTCTAGTTACCTATTGATACTTTTCACTAACATTTTTTTCTTTGTACCCTTTAGCCAGTCTTTTGTTTTCTTTCTTTTAGCTTTGAACAAACCTTTTGCTCCGTTTTAGCTTTTAGCTAGTGTTCGTCTTTGAGCTTAACTACACAGTTTCTGCAGCCATCATTCCTGTGGTTTATCTTTATCTCTGCTCATGACTGAGGTGGTGTGTTGTTTGTTTTTTTGTTTCCCGCTCAGATGAGAGAAGATGACCGGGTGGCGATCCACGAGGCCATGGAGCAGCAGACCATCTCCATCGCTAAGGTACGTCAAGGAACTCACCACAGCCGTGCTTGTGAGGCTGAGACCATGGTAATAACCACACGGGCTTCTCTCAGGCGGGCATCACCACCACCCTGAACTCTCGCTGCTCCGTGCTGGCCGCCGCCAACTCCGTGTACGGCCGCTGGGACGACACGAAGGGAGAGGACAACATCGACTTCATGCCCACCATCTTGTCTCGTTTCGACATGATCTTTATCATCAAAGACCAACACGACCAGCAGAGAGACATGGTGAGGAGACTGGAGGCTTCACATCATCCGTCTGTCACGGGTCGCAGGTTCTGAGTGTTCGTTTCTAAATTTTTATTTTTTTGGCAGACGTTGGCTCGTCACGTGATGAACGTCCACCTGAGCGCTCAGACGCAGACCGAAGGCGTGGAGGGCGAGATTCCGCTGGTTACGTTTAAGAAATACATCGCCTACGCCAGAACGTGAGTCTACCCGGCGTCACAGAGTCCGTGGGTGCTTTAGAGTCCACAGTGGTGTCTGTGTTAGTAAAATATCTGACCTGATGTCTGCTCGCAGTAAATGCGGCCCTCGGCTCTCTGCGGCGGCCGCCGAGAAGCTGAAGAACAGATATGTGGTGATGAGGAGCGGCGCGCGGGAGCACGAGCGGGAGTCTGACAAGCGCCCCTCCATCCCCATCACCGTCAGGTACTTTTAAAATCATCCACATCGTTTGACTCCACCTCCCACAGAGTTTAGTTATTGTTGTTTTTAACACCATGGCTGTTTTTAATCAGGCAGCTGGAGGCCGTCGTGCGTATCGCCGAGTCTTTAGCCAAGATGAAGCTTCAGGCTGTGGCCGGAGAGGAAGAGGTGGACGAGGCCCTCAGACTCTTCCAGGTGTCCACGCTGGACGCCGCTCTGTCCGGCAGCCTCACAGGTGTGTGTTTGTTGTAGGGCTGCACCATGTCATGAAAACCTGCAAAAACAGTACTTAATTATGTGATGACGATATGATTTGTGATAAATAAATGAGTAAGTATGCTGGGATGTCTTCAGTCCTAGGTTCAGAGYGAAAAACACCAACTAATACATCATTTCCATTCCAACAGGAGTTTTCTTTTTAAAGAGTGCAGCTAGACACAGCTGCTGTATTAGCAGTGCGACAACAAACTGGATGCAGTACAGTTTTTTAATGACTTTAAAATATTTAGTAAATTTATTAATTTTCATTTAAAACAAATACTATACACAACAAATAATACAAATCACAAATAAAATGAAAGGCAGCAGAAAGAAGAGAAAAATCTTAATATTTGCCCCTTTAAATTTTTTTTTCAAACAAAATGTCTACCCCTTTAAACTTTTTTCTGATGCTCTACATCAGAGGAGCCCAAAGTGGGGCCCGCGGGCCAAATTTGGCCCTCCAAGCCATTTGATTTGGCCCACCAGCAGTTGCCATATTTAGTAGGTTGTAACCTGTCGTACAGTGTAGAACGTAATAATTTCTTATTACACATAAGTAGTTTTTTTTTTCTTTTCTTGGTGCTGAAATGATTGTATAAGATTGTATGAGAATGTATTGCTTGTCATGTTGTGTTGACCAGACAGCTGTGAAGTGAATTGTCTTTTTAGGATAAATAGTTATTTGAAGTTGAAGTAACAGTATTTCCATCTAAAGTCATTAATTATCCATTGGTCCAGTTACTATAAGAGGCTGTAGTGCAGAGTTTTCACTCGTGGTTGACTTTATCTTTGATATATTAGGATTAAACATCAAACATGAAATACATGCAACAAGAAGATATATTTAGCTTAGATTTAACCACACATGTAGATTTGTACACTTTAAGACCACACAAACTCACATTTTATCAGTTTATGAAATGTCCCATGAGCCTTTGCTGCTTGAGACAGACTTTCTCCAAGTGCACAGACTAAAACAAAACTGGGCCACCACACTGGCTGCTAGCTTAATCATTAAAAACAATGGACTTTAATTTAAAAATATTTGTATTTCATGTATTATATTATCACATTTGGCCCGCAGCCCTGGATAGATTTTCATTTTGGCCCTCGAGGAAAATGTTTGGGCACCCCTGCTCTAAATACTGAAAAACGCCCCTATCAGTTTTTTTTTTTTTACTTTTTTTTTTCCCACCCTAAAATAAATAATAAAAACATCTGAAAATTAGTTCAGACATTTTAAAGTAAAAGGTAAAAAAACTAAATTCAACTGCAAATTATCTCATTGCAGTTGTCCAAAATTTTCTTTACGGACAAAGTGGTTTATGATTTGATGTGGTGCCTTGGCTCCATTTTGCTCGTCAGACTGATGCCAACAAACGCATCAATGCAAACACTCGAGCCGACTATTTATGGCAGATTTTCGCGATATGTCTCATACACAGGCTTGTTATCACGATGATGATAAGTTTGCCATATATTGTGCATCCTCAGGTTGTTGTGTTGTAGTGGACAGGAAAGGTTTTACACACTGAAGATTCCAGGTGATCTGTGATACTGGCACACTGCTTATGACTGRTGACCTTTGTAAAGAGGGTGCTTTATTACCGTGGATTCATGGTGTTTCATTGCATTTTTCTTGTTTTCCTTGTTAGTTTTAGTTGAGCTGGACAAGTTGTTGCAGTAAAGGTGTGGAAAAGTTTTTGAAGTGAATGTGAAAACATTTTACATTCGCCCTACATGATTACTTTAGCAGCTCAACGTGCACATTTTTTTTCCATTGTGCAACAGAAGTACATAAAATAAGCTCCAGTACTTGAGAAACAATGGACTAGAAGAGATGCATTGACTTTTTTGAAATTATTTTTTTTCTAGCTCAGTTCATCTCCTGYGCTTCCTGCTGTGAACCTTCTCCATTTTATTTCTCTCCTCAGGGGTGGAGGGTTTCACCTCTCAGGAGGACCAGGAAATGCTCTCCCGCATTGAGAAGCAGCTCAAACGGCGCTTTGCCATCGGCTCCCAGGTGTCTGAGCACAGCATCGTCCAGGACTTCACCAAGCAGGTCAGTCAGTTCGAGGACCAACAATCAGTCGTATTGTCACAAAAACCCAGTTTGTGCCCAGATCTGAACAATTCATTTCCAATAAAGCATTTTTTTTGTCACCCCTTCTGCCTCTTTCACAGAAATATCCAGAGCACGCCATCTACAAAGTCCTCCACCTGATGTTGAGGAGGGGGGAGCTGCAGCACCGCATGCAGAGGAAGGTCCTCTACAGGGTCAAGTAGCTGGGCTCTAGTATTGACCTTTTATTGTTGATGTAAATAGTTTTTGTGGAACAGTTTCTTGTAATGACAGAAAAAATCGATGATAATAAAAATTAAAAATGAGATGGTGAGTTCACTGTTCAGGTGGTGATGTCAGCCTACATGYGTTCAGTCTGTAAGCATAAAATAAATAAAAATAAACCAAGAAGACTCCAGTTCTGATCCTGAATGATTTATTTCATACAAAAGACAGTAAAGTGTTTTATTACACAGTTAAGCTTAAAGTTTTTGCTTACAAGCCTTTTTAGAAGAAATACAAATATTAGTCTTGATTTTATTAAAGTGCTTTATCATATATTTGGCAAATTTCTACAAGGCATACATTCCTGCTCCGATAGTGGCCAGTGTGAGGCACAGTCCCACGGTGAGCTGTGTGAAGGAAGGAGCTGRCATCCAGGAGATTTGGAGGCTGTGTTTTGATTGGTCCGTTGTGTCTGTCGTGATGCTCAGCATTTTCTGCAAGTCATCAAAAACCTAAAGGGGAGGAGACAACTTCTTAGTTCTCAGCAACTTAACATGCTTGTTCTGCAGCTTTCATGTCCTCTTTTTAAGTTCAGTGACTGAAAGTTGTTTTTCAGCTCATTAAAGTTGCTAATGTGGACGTGTTGAAACCTTTGTAACTACTTATCACAATTTTAGTGCACTGTCACAGTTTCAGGAAAACCCATTCAGTAAAAATAAAAACAAGTGTGGTGAATTTTGCAGAATATAGTTAAGCGTGTGTAAAATGTCCGCATGCACAGCAATGTGTTTAAAACCCAGCCTTCAGAGTAGAAACAAAAGTTTGTTTACAAAAAGTTTGATTTTTTTTTTTTTTACTTATGATTTTGCAATGAAATCTTTAGTGGGGGTCGTGCTAACTTTTGAGATAAACTCAAAAACAAACATTTATACATGGGGGGGAAGTAGACATTTTAGTCATCTTCCACCCAGTCCATTTTGTGACATAAACATTGATTTTAATTCTGTATAGTTTCCCCAGAATGYAAACATCTAAATTCTCATTGACTTCTGTTGAATCTGAGCTCAGTTTCTACACTTGTGCGCTCCACAACTGGAGACAAAAGGAAAAAAAAGTGTTGTGAGGACTTGGAAGCTTCTACTCAGTGTTTTGTAGTACAACGTTTAGTTTTTGCACAGTGAAAATCCGAGGCTTATTCTCTACTCTGTGTTTCTGCCTGTCTTTAACAGGGCTGTCAGCAGTGTGGTTATGGCAGCAGCTTTTTAACCTTGGTTTTCTTTACAATTTTCATGCAACTAAAACATCTAAAAATGGCAACATTTTCCTGGATTAGTACAAAATTAAGTCCCAAACCTTTTGTAGATAAAAAGTGAATGTTTGTAGTTATATTGTATTTATTCATGTATAATACTAGAAATTTAACCCTAAAATTATCCATAAAGTGGGGGTGTAGTATTATACTCGGGTTAATGATAATTAGATTTTTAATGCTTTTTAAGCTCAAAAAATGATCGAATTACACTCGTGATCGTATTATACATGAATAAAAATGCTAATTTCCTGTGATGTTCTTGTGTAACCAAGCCGCTGATCTGATTCCTRTTGGCTCACCTGGATGTTTAACTCGAACGCTCCCACCGCCTCCTCCAGCATGGCCTTCTTCTTTGCCTCTGTAAGCTCGATGCTGTTCATCCGGCTCCTGTACAGCTGCTTGAAGCGGTTGGGGCTGCTCACGCCAGGGAACGAGAAGAACGACAGCCCCTCCTTGCTGCTCAGCCCCAGAGACTTCTGGGTAATTTTCCCCAGCACCTGTCCACCTGACAGGTCGCCGAGGTAGCGGGTGTAGGCATGGGCCACGAGCAGCTCTGGGTTCTCTCTGCCAATCTGGATTAAAAAAAGCAAAAAGAAAAGTTGTGCAATGCCTCCTATACATTTGTTATGTCAGGCCCCACCAAAAGAAGTATGTTCAGTTGCTTTGCTCGATGGGATCTGTGGCTAATTCAACAATRTTTTACCCACCTTTCGCAGCCTCTGTTCATATCTTTGTGTGGCTGCAGGGACGATCACTTTCTTCTGCCAGTCCGAGCCGAAGAAATGCTCCAGATCTGCTTCCAGGGATTCCAGGCGAGCCAGTTCCTGAGGGAAGTATATGGGGGCCACAGCTGGATGGGAAGCGTTCCTGTCCAGCTCTTCTTCTAAAGCCTTGTAGATCTCGTACAGGGAGCACAGCAGAACCTGGTGGAGACACCAGAAGAATGTGTCATTTGGGGACAACGGTCAACAGAAGAGACAAACCGTTTGAGTCGGATCACGTTACCTTGTACTGAGGCAGGGTGATCTGACCCTTCTGGTAACTCAGCATCAGCTGTGTGTTTTCCGCTCTGACGTGGTTGTCCTGAGTGGCTGCTTTAATCTGCTCTGATAAGTCCCTGAGGGTGCAACATGATGCATGACCTCCTGCACAGAATGCTTGAACTGATTTCACTATGAGACGTCCAGTTATCTTACCTGCCTGCTTCACCCGAGTCGTTTTTCCTGGCACTCCTCATGGCCTCCATCTGTTCAGATAACAGTCAGCTCCTACGAAGGTCTGTGGGAGAGATGTGTATCAGCGTGCTGGAGTTGTCTCTGCTGTGGTCCTCTCTCATCTCTTTTATAAAGCCCCAGAGGCTGCAGCTGCTGAGTCAAAAGGGAAGTGTGACTGCTGCGTCACGTCACTCCAACTGCTGCCACTTCATGTGACAAAGCAGATGTGGCCTGAAAACATGACCAGGCAGATATCAAAAGCATGAAGCGACAGTTCTGATTGTTYAAAGTGGAGTCTGGGAGGAAAGTTTATGAACAATGAATGTCTTAGCTGTTGATCGGTCTGTAGATGGGTCTTTGAAAGGTTGAAGTAAAGAAAATGGTTGGATGGTAAGTTAAAAGTGGATTGCTGCTGAACTAATGATTACTTTCTATGAGTTTCATTAAAATATACAACCTGCTGTTTGTGAGATACTTTCCTGACAGGCAGAGTTGACTTCAATGAAAATGAGGGGATGAATCTCAGCTACTACCACACCAAATTTTAGGTAATTATCTGTAAAGTTGACTGCCGTACAGCCATTTTTTAAAGGTCATTTGGCTGGGGCGGCCTCCGTATATGGGATTGATCTCAAATGGCAATCAATTCAATTCAGTCTGAAAATACTTCATTAATCCCAAAGTAAAATTAAATAATGGTTACTTTACAAAGGTTTCATTTAAAGCCATCCAGTGGTTTATCAGATATTTTGCTAACAGATGAACACAGAGATAAATGGCCAAAACCACTGTTTCTTTTACTTTAGTGGTTGGTGAAAAAAAAAAGAAAATAATGGGAATAATTATTATTTTTAAATCTGTTAACCTTATTATTACTAATAATCATCATCATAAATATTATGATGAATAATATTTTACAACACCAAAAATAGTAGTAACAAAATGTATAAATGAGACGTGCATTACTGATTATCATGRTTAATGATAGGCTGGAAGGCTTCAGGTCCAGATGACATCAGCTCCAGGCTCCAGGTGCTGCGCAAATCAACTGTGGCATCATGGGATTCATGTTCAATCTGAGCCTGAAGCTGGAGAAGGTACCACAGCTMTGGAAGACCTCCTGTGTGGTACCTGTGCCTAAGACCAAACATCTGACGGACCTCAGCAGCTACAGGCCGGTGGCTCTGACATTGCATCTAATGAAGAGCTTCAAGAGGCTGGTCCTCAATCATCTATGCCCCCTGGTGAGGTCTTCACTGGATCCGCTACAGTTTGGCTACCGGCCTGGCATTGGGGTGGATGATGCCATCACCTACCTCCAGCACCTCGCTCTGACCCACCTGGAGAAGCCTGGAAGCACTGTGAGGATCATGTTCTTTGATTTCTCCAGTGCTTTCAACACCATCCAGCCAGGACTTCTGAGGGACAAACTGGAGCTGTCTGGAGTGGACCACGACATGCCCCAGTGGATACTGGACTACCTCACTGGCAGCCCACAGTATGTGAGGACACAGGGCTGTGTCTCGGACACACTGGTCTGCAGTATGGGGGCTCCTCAGGGACACTTTTCCTCTTCACCCTCTACACTGCAGACTTCACCATCAACACCCCACACTGCCACCTCCAGAAGTTCTCTGATGACTCGGCCATAGTCGGCCTCATCACAGGTGAGGACAACTCACAGTACAGACAGTGGACTCAGAGGACAGACAGTGGACTCAGAGGACAGATAGTGGACTCAGAGTACAGACAGTGGACTCAGACAGACAGTGGACTCAGAGGACAGACGGTGGACTCAGGACTTTGTGGACTGGTGCCAGCAGAACTACCTCCTGATCAACGCTGCTAAAACCAAGGAGCTGGTGGTGGATTTCCRCAGGCGCAGTCCCACCACACTGACACCAGTGAACATCCAGGGAGTGGACATTGAGGTAGTGGACTCTTATAAGTACAGTCTGTACCTGGGTGTTCACCTGAACAATAAACTGGACTGGACTCACATCAGTACTGCCTCCAAACCGGTTCAGTCTCGTCCCGTGGTCCAAGGAGCTCAGAGAAGAATGTGCAGGAAATGCGAGACAGCACAATAAATCCAGTGATAAATGTAGAAGTCTAAGCAAAATAAGTCATTCTTTGGAAGACAGACTGAACACAGATGAAACTGCATGTCTGTTGACTTTTTGAAAATTCTGATTTCAAAATAAAATTCACATGTATCATGTGTGTGTATGAATATGTTGTGAGCTGCATGTTTCCATCTGTTTCCTAATGGAATTAAACTCCAGAGTTCAGAGAAGTTTCAACTTCTGAAGCTTCAAATTGTTAATGAAGCTTTGGCCTCCCCAGTCTTACATGACTGTTATATTCATGAGAAAAGTATTTATGAGCAATTAATGGACTGACCAAGCAGACACAGTTCCAGAGTGAATTTGTAATTTATAAGTCCTTCATCTTACAGCTGGTTAAAACTGGCAGTGGGTGAAGGCTGGGTAAGGTGCAGCCAAAACAGATCAGCAGTTTTTACAAGAACACAACTAAAGATGATTCATTTAGAGTTAGCTTGATAAATAAAAACTTTATTGATCCAGGCGTTTTTCACAACCGGAAGTAGCATCTTCTTGTGCTAGGAATAAGATCAATATATTATATTATATTATAT